CTGAGAAGGGCAGAAAAGGAAGGAAAGGGAGTTAGCATGGGTGGGACAGGCAGTGTCAACTGGAGAATAGCCAGTGCGCTTGTCCCTGTGCCTCTCAGCATCCTTTCTTGTCCCTTGCTTGCATGAAGACATTTGTTTCCTTGCACAAAGACCCATCAGCCAATGTATCAGCATGTGGTGATGTTAGTTCACTTTTACCTAAATCTAAATTGTGACATCAACCACCATCAGCACTTTTCCTGTGTGGATGCAAGAAAAGAAATAATTAAACGTAACTGTTCCAGCCCCAGCCTCTGTAGATGTACCCGAGGCCCAAGCTGATAAGTCAGAGCCTCTTTCTTCCACCACCCAGTCCATGTTCCCCTTATCCTGCCAGCACCCCAGGTGGGCAGAGTGTTTTACTTGGTGGATGCATTAGTTTCCCAGGGTATTGTAACAAAGTACCATAAACTAGGTCACTTAAAACAACAAGAATTTATTATCTCCCAGTCTTGTAAGCCAGAAGTGCAAAATCAAGGTGTTTTCAGGGCATGTTCCCTCTAAAAGCTGTAGGGGGATCCTTCCTTGCCTCTTCCTAGCTACAGGTGGTTTGCAAGTCATCTTTGGTGTCCCTTGGCTTGTAGAAGCATCACTCCAATCCTCCATCTTCACATGGTGTTATCTCTGTGTGTCTGCACACCGTCTTTCCTCCTTGTGCGTTTGTCTCTGTGTCCAGATTTCTCCTTTTTATAAGGGACCAGTAATATTGGATTAGAACCTACCTTAATGACCTCATCTTAATTTAATTACCTCTGTGAAGACCCTACTTCCAAATAATGTCCTGAAGTACTGTAAATTATGACTTCAGAATACCTTTTTTAAGGATACAATTCAACCAGTAATAGTGGATGACCCACATCTTCCTATAGGATCCAAATTCTTAGTAATCTGTCCTTACGTGGTTGCCAGGGTTTCCCACTGACTGTTGTTGGAGGTGGAGATACTTAAGGCTCCCCACTGACTTCTAGACATAGTCCTCCTTACTCCATTATATCACAACAACACAATTTCCCCCAACAGTTGAGATCAATCATCTTGGCCAATGTAGTAAGTCATTCTCTGCTTGCTAATTCAATAGCAAAGGGAGTCCATACAGGGTAAGGGACAATCTCAATTCCCAACAAAAGTGTGTCTGGGCTTTTTGATGAAAGCATTCTTTCCTTGGGTACCAAGACATATTATTGAGAGATTCCAAAGTTCTAGTGATAAAAAAAAGATCCAAAAAGTTACCAGAGAGAAAAAGCCATAGACACAGGATGTGATATTAGAGTGTCATTGAAATTTTCAGTGGAAACACAAAAAAATAAAAGGCAGGAACAATTGCTTAAAAATGTAAAGTCTAGAAATCTATGCCCAGCTGAAGTAGGCTTGCTTCTGGGACTCTCCCACTGCCAACTTAGTTTTGCCTTTCCCAGGTCTTCTGAGGCAATTAACGCTTGTTCACCTACTGTCCAGGTTCTGAAGTATTACAGCATTCATCTTCTCTCCTTTTCTCCTTGTCCTGGTAGATTTATGCTTTTGTAAAAACTTCCTTTAATGTGATTTTAATGAGATTTTGGGAAGGAGCTCTTTATGTGTAATTGATTTATATTTTTATAATGAGAAATTACTTGAAAAAAATTTCTTTATGACGCTGATATTTGGAAGCTGTTTAGAGATTGCCGAGGGCCCAATCAGTCGGTTCAGGTAGAGATTCAGTATGTACAATAACCATAAATTATTACCTCAGGGGTGAAATAGGGTTTTTAATGTTCAGAATAAGTTACCTGGATTTCTTTAGGAGACCAGATTGAGCTGTAAACTGCTCAGTCACTGAGTGTTTACTCTTTCCCAGCACTTGATTTTCCTTACTCTTTAGAGAAAGAAATTAATGGCACGGTATCAGCTATATTTTCCCCCCAACTTTCTCTTTTGAAAAGTTCAAATCTGTAAAAAAGTTGAAGTGCAGTGCAATGAACATCCATATTTCCTTCATCTGGATTTATCAATGGGTAACATTTTGCTAATTTGCTTTATCTTTCTCTTATGTATATGTGTGTGTGAGAGAGAGACAAAACAATGTATATTACATATGTGTATTATAATATGCAGAGATAAGGCAGAATACATATCCTATAATATTTATATTTTATATATAAATGTAGTTGTTGTTGGCACTTCATCTCATAGGGGATTGTCTTAGTCATTTTGGGCTGCTACAACCAAGTACCATAGACTGGGTGGCTTATAAACAATAGAAATTTATTTATATCTCACAGTTCTGGAAGCTGAAAGTCTGAGATGAGAGTCCCAGCATGGTTGGGTTCTGGTGAAGACCCTGTTTCAGGCTTCAGACTGCTGACTTCTCATTTTAATTTCACATGGCAGAAAGAGGCCCAGAAAGCTCTCTGGGATTTCTTTTCTAAGGACACTAATCCCATTCATGAGGGATCCACCTTTATCACCTAATCACCTGCCAAAGGCCCCACCTCCTAATACCATCACCTTGGGGTTAAGAAATCAGCTGATGAATTTTGAGGGGGGGTAGGTGGTACAGGGATAATTTAAAATCATTTCTAAACACCTCAACAAAACATAAATTCCTAACATGATTATGTTCAGAGTGCATTAAAAATCCATTGAACAATTATCTCCTGAACTAGGCTTTAAAAGTAGTCTTTAGTAAAAGCAAATACACATATGCACACCCCCTTAATTTCTGGGACCTTATTTAATCTGAATATGTAAAACCATGTGATATAGCCACCAAATAATTACTGCCATTCCTAATGACATATAATTTTGTTGAAGTTTTCTAATTTAGTTATTTTCTTTCTTTCTTTCTTTTTTTTTTTTTTATATAGAGTCTCACTTTGTTACCTGGGCTAGAGTGTAGTGATATCATGATAGCTTACTGCAACTTCAAACTCCTGGGCTCAGGCAATTCTCCTGCCTCAGCCTCCCGAGTAGTTGGGACTATAGGCGTGCGTCACCACATCTGGCTAGCTTTTTGTATTTTTTGTAGAGACAAGGTCTCCCTCTTGCTCAGGCTGGTCTCGAACTCCTGGCCTCAAGCGATCCTCCAGCCTTGGCCTCCCAGAGTGCTAGGATTACAGGCGTGAGTCACTACACCCAGTTTAAACAGGGTAGGTAAAGCACTTTACTGAATGGCTGAGATCCAAGATATCCACTATTGGACTGAAGAGATGCCCTGCTGAAAAACAACAGATAATATCCCTTTCAGTGATATAAAACTATTGTTGTTAGTAATTTTAAAATATTATGTTTCTTTTAAACTGTGAAGAATCTTTTTTTAAAACTTGCCTAATGTATGGTAATGTAGATTTGTGCCAGATGATGATGATAATGGTATGTTTATTAAGTGATTTGGAAATGTTGAGAATCTAAGGATTTTTCAGGTTTTTGTGTTAATTCAAATTAAAGTCACCATGCAAAGTGTCACTATTGAACATTATCAAACAATTTGACCTAATTGACATTTATAGAACAACAGCAGAATATACATTTTT